CTTTCTCAACCACCTTCCCCAAAAAGGGGAGGTGGGAGACTGGACGAAAATTGTCCAGTATAGTAGGATCCAGGGAGGGCTTCTTGAGGGGGTGCACCAACGCCTCTTTAAAGGGTGCTGGAAACACTCCCTCCTGCAATCAGGTCCAGGAGCCCAAGGAGGGATCCAGAGCAGCCAGAATACCAAAAGGACCCATAGTTTGTCCCTGCAACCCAACCTATTAATCAATTCAGTGAAATCAAACCAGATGCCTCCAAACTAATTCAGAAAGGTTCAGACCTGATCTACTGGGCTTCTGGACTTACACAAAAACATTTCTTTTTCCGAATTGATTTGATGTCATTGTTCCTACTCAGCATGAAATACAGTTTTATCCCATAGTTACCCCGCTATCCCTTACTTCCATAACTTTCCCTTTCTTGCTCCCTCAGCTCAGTATTGCCCCATCTATTTTAGTAATATTATTGGATTTATATTAGAAAATAAAATGGACAACTTAAGATCATGGAATACTGATATCAGGCCAGAAGTTTGGAAAGGAATACAATATGAAATAATGAAGTTAAGAAAAACTTGGACTCAGAAACGGTTTATACGATGTCTGTGTTCATTTGACACACTTTATCTGACCAGATTAAGCTATGGAGCGTGCAGTTTGGTTAGGTTTTCTTTTATGGCTTAGCATGTTGTATCAACTAACCTGTTTAACTGATTTATAGTTTAGTGTGTTGCACAAATCCAAAGAAAATGGTTCTTTCATTAACCAGCTTAAACATGTGTGAACATCAGAAAAACCTCACTTCAGTTTTTACTTGCTCTAACATTTGTACCAAAAGGAAATAGAAATTCAGAGTCAATAACTGTTTCAGTTAATGGATTTGTGAGACTAAGGACATGATAATAGCAGCTTGTAAAAATGGTAATCCTAGTAGGCCCATTCATAAAATCAAAGTTGAAAAGAAGCTGTTGTTTGGAATTTGGACTGTGGGAACTTTGCTATAAATCTTTGCTCAGCCATGAAGCTTTCTGACTAAATGAACTTTCTCTCCTTCGACCTACTGCACAGCACTCTAAAGGGGATACTGTAAATGGGATTGTCACATTTATGCTCCCAAGAGAAGGAATGAGTGTCAGTTCCATCTGTAAAGATGATGGACTATTTCCAAATTTCCTCGGATACTTTACCTTTGAGCCAGCAACACCTTTTGCTCCAGAAGAGCCATGTAAACCCTAAAAATAAAAATATATTGAAAATATTTGAAATGTTGTAGAGAAATTTCTTAGTGGAAATGTTAAAAGTTAGCTTTACTTTGCAACCATTTTTCTTGAGATACTGCAAATATTAATTAATGAAGCTTCACATTCTTAAATTCACCAGCAACATAAGAAAAATGAATGCTTAAACCCAGAATAAACAAAGCACAAGGAAACTGATATGTTTACAGCTGGTCCCAATCCTAATGACATACACTTATTAAAAAGGTGCCCATTCAGATGTGCATTAATCCAAGGTAACCCAGCACAGGTAGATATTTCACAGAACATAGAAGAAGTCATAGTGAGCTGTTGGGGGGGAAGGGTGTTCCTAAATTTTGCAAAGTACAGGTTTCCCCCTACAGTCAGCTGTTACCTCTCCCTTGTACATGAACGTAGATATGCATAGAAAAGTTCTCAGAGAAGGATTATCTACAAAGGTAGCAAATAGGATTATGAAATCATATATAAGTATATATAGTCAATCCTGAATAACAACATGCTAATACAGCTAGAGTAAGTCACATACAAATGTCTCCATCCATTTTCCCATTTTGGGTAAACATACTGCCAAAGTACAGAAATTGATCTCTTTGCTCTAGGGTGTTGTTTTTTTGGGTAATACTTATGTACAGCATGCAATTATTCGCTCCATTATTCTTGCCAAACACAACTACCATGGTCTTTGATACTTTAATTTTCAATCCCATATTTTTCATTGTATCATACAATCCATCTAAAATTTGCTGCAAAATATTCTCATTTCTAGTCAATACAGCATCATCTGCATACAAAAATACATATAGATTCATGTTCTCAACCAAGACACCTCTAATGTCATTACAAAGATTTATCTGTTGATACATTATATAACCAAGGGGACATCACAAACCCTTATCTTACTCTTTGTTCAGTGTTAAAGAGAGAAAGAGGTCTTTCAAACAGACCCACACTACACAAAATTATACTTAGGTCTTTCTGTTTTTTCTTTCAAAAGCCTTTGTTTCAGCTCTATCAAGTCTCTCTTGGGATCAGTCTTAAGAAGCAGCTTCACTCCCACAATAAGTATACATCTATATCTGCCTTCCATGATGACATAAAGTTATGGTGTAAGTTCAGAGAAGCCAGGGAGTTGCCAGTAAAAATTAATTTGGCCACCATTTCAGATAGCAACACCACATGCAACCCTCTCTGGGGATTAGTTTAGATTCCAGTCTCAGCAGAGAATTGGATGCACAAACTTTTTTGAACTGTGGACTGGGCAGCTTCAAGACAGCTTAAGTCACAATAATTACAGGTCTAGCTAACAAAATGCCAGATGGCTAATGACCTTTGCCATTTGTAAATATTTTTAATTGAGGCTGGAGCATAATTATTCCCATTGTGTTTGCTAGTTTATGGGCCCAGGCAGTTATGGCCCTTTGTTGTCATTCCCAGATTGCTGAGGCTTGAAAAGAAGCACTTATTTATTTGAATAGCTTAATTTGATCAATACCCAAGCTGCTGATTTTCAAAATGTAGTGGCAGATGACAGGGTTTCTAGGGAAAACAGCTGTTGGTTTTACTATAGTTGATGGCCAGTCTTTTCCTTCCACAATAGCAGGCATGGATTTGAAGACTTTGCCTGTAGCTCATTTGTGTTGTACGGAGGGGAGCTGCCTGGCCAAGATATAAAAGGACTGACACTGATCTACTGGCCACATAGTGGTAGGGGGGCTGAAACTCTCGACTGCCTCAAAGAATTATTATAGGAATTAAAAAGAGCCAAGATACTGCCTTACTTCATTTCTTTTTCAATAAAAATGCCATTTTGAACCTGCACTAAATTACTGTCATGATAAGTTGGTAATTGATGGAAGATGCCACCAATTTCTCCCACAGCCTGTCTTTGGGGATTGAATTAAAAGCTGTCTTGATGAATGAATGCAATGTAAAACATACCCAAAAATAGTTGATATATTTTTCTACTAGGACAACATGTTGGTCAAGTGTGGATTGACCTTCCCCAAATCTTTCTGTTAAGACACTGTCCCTCATCAACCAGTCAACTCTTTTCCAGGGCAGTGCCTAGAGTACAACCCATATGCTCAACAGAGTAATCAGCCAGAAATTTACCAGATTTATTCATTATCTGAACTATTTTCAGCAATTTGCAATACTGACTCCTTTCGTTAAGAATGATTTGACACAGGCAAAGCCATTGGTAGCTAGGGGGCAATGCCCTTAGCTTTCCCTCTTGTCACTCTATACTTATACCTTAAGCACATCATTTGATTCCTAAAATTAAATTTTAAAAATCCCCAAAGCATGTGTGAAATTACATCATTTTGATTGTTTAGTTTTACAATTAAGCCAAAAAAAAAAAAAATACAACCAAACCAGCAGCAAGAATCTGGGCAACTCCTCCCACCCCCACCAGCCTCTGGAAATTAATGGAACAGGATACCTTCCAGGTAGCATAACAATATACTTTATCCTAATTTTAACGTTTCCAGTCTTCTGGAGTTCACCACTATCTTGCTATTTGATATACAGTTTTATAGCTGCCATAACAGAAAATATAACCTGACTCAGTAAACATCCAGCTTCAATCTGGCTAGAAAACATAACTTAGTTTACATTTTAAATATGCAAAAAATATGGAAAACACTTACAGGGATTCCCTGAATTCCTATATCACCTGGAGGTCCTGGTTTTCCTGGTTCACCCTGAAAGAAAATATTTGTATTTCAGATGAAGCCTGAAGAAATCCTTGTGGGGATCAAGCCATCTGCCTATATGGTATGCAGAGATATACAGTAAGAATATAAATAAGTTTCCCACCCTTGGCAAACACCATCCCTGCCACATACCACTGAGCAAATGTGGCATTGAGCAAATGATCCAGTTAGAGTAAATCACCAATATTCACCCAAGAAGTGAGGACCTAACAGGTAGACATCATCCTGCTGGAACAGGCCATCTAGCACACCTTTCTGTTTTCACAGCAGGCAGGAAGTTGCCTCTGGAAAGTTCTCATTCAAGACATGTGGACTCCCTACAGTTTGCACCAACACCTGGTAATCTGATCTTTATTCAGTGCTTGTAATCTACCAAACCATCATTTTAAGACAGCGATAAAGACATTATAAAAATTAGTATGCATAGATATTATTTGTTTAATATGTAACTAATATGCATATTAAATACTAACTAAGAGATACCTGTATCTAAACTATGTAGAAGGTATCTATACTACTTTTCATGAATAGGAGGACAAGCAGAAGAGACATGTGCACTGGGCAACTCACTAAATATCTTGCTTTGCCTCATCTCCCTGGTGAAGGAGTAGCCAGACACATCTCTTGCACTGCATCTGTGGCAATCTCTAGGACTTGCACTGGCATGGATCCTCCATGAACTCCTTGGGAGCAAGCCCTTTGTACACACCTTAAAAGAAGGGAGAGCTACCTTGACTGACTGAGCCCAAGAAATAGGTGTTTCCCCATTGCAGGAAATAAATGTTTGCAGGGAATTAATTAAAGAGATAAATGGAGAGAAGTGAACTTGTGCTGGAAACACCATTAATATATGTAGGACTCAAATGATACTGATCTTCTTTTGACTGTTGTGTTGGTATATATGAAGATCCCCTGTTAGTCACACCAAAGTAACATCAGTTTCAACATTTGTCCTAACTCAGGTCTGGCTTTGAGCAACTGGGTCATGCACAGACAATGCCTTTTCCTTGCATTTTGTATACAGAACCATTTCTTATTTGGAAGAATATCCACTTCTGCCCAGAGTAGTTCCATTCAGCCATAATGGCTGGTAGGCATTTATAGTTCTGTCTTCCATGAATTGGCAAATCTCCTCTGAAAGCCATCTATATCTGTGGCCGTCAGCATTCTGTATATTCTGGTATGCATGTATTTGATTTATATCTTCTCACTTGACTGTTGGAGGAGATTAATCACAAGAGGAGCTCCTCTGGAGACTTTTCAGCAGTTCATTGGGTGATACAATCCCTTTGATTGTGATAGGATACTGTGATTAATTTATGATTGGTTGAAATTAATAACCATTACTATGGATATTTTAATTTTAAATAAATTAACTTTTGGTTTACCAAGGACATTTTACTTTATGGTTTGTTATTTTCCTGGGAGCCATTCTGCAATACAGCAGCATACATGACAGGCAGACAGACAGGGGGGTTAAGACGGATGAATCAATAAAATGCAGAATACTTAAAAAAAATAAAACTAATGTGAAAACTAGTTACCAAGTTCAAAAAAACTCAATGTCTTAAGGTAGCGTATCAGGTTTAAACTGAATTAATTTCTTTTGATTTCTATTTCTTTTTTTCCTACAGTATTCAGCCCACACTGGCCTAAATACAGCGAGTTGTAATATGAAAATTGAAAGCAAGTTCTGCTGCTTAATAAGCGTTGTATGATAAAATCGCATTTGCGATCACAGATTGTTGCATTCCTTTCCTTATTTCATCTCTGTAAATATGGAAGGTGTAGAAATGCCATTTGAGAATGGTCCTCACAATGCTGCAGCAAATGCTGGTCATTTTTTGAAGCAGTTATTTGGAATTTGTGAGCCAGGGTCTTCCCCATTCGGTCCTTAGTTGGTGATACTCAGCTTATTTAGTATTCTATCTGCACCATTTTCAGCTAAATGCAACCATTTCTACCTGTTGTTTGTCTTCAGTATCCAGTATTTGGGTATATATATTCTCTGAATATAGGAGGTGCTTTTGGAGGAAGGGGGGTGCCTTCGAGTCAGTCTTGACTCCTGGTGACTGCCTGGACAAGTCCCTGCAGTTTTCTTGGCAAGATTCTGGAAGTGGTTTGGCACTGCCTGCTTCCCAGGGCTGAGAGAGACGGACTGGCCCAAGGTCACAAGCTGGCTTCGTGCCCAAGGCTGGACTAGAACTCTCAGTCTCCCGCTTTCTAGCCTGGTGCCTTAACAGCTACACCAAACTGGCTGTCTGAACGTAGGAGTATAAACTACTTAATTCTTACAGCTAATAAAGGAAGTTCTGCCACGAGGAGCTGGTGCGAGTAAAGAAAGAACAGCTTTGGATGGGTGGACCTAAGGAAAAGTAGAGTGCGCCTACAGTCACTTGCGTGTAGCACTCTCAGCTTCTGGAGGCACCCACCATTGTTATAGCCTTTCAGTCTGGAGGCTGCACTCTGCTAATAATAACTGAGACTCCTGTTCGTTACTAATTTGCCTAATTGCACTTCTTCTCCGTAATATTTTTCTAGTCCCCACTCGGCTATGTTAAATTAGAACAGATACATTCACTTTATTTTAACTTTAAATACCTTTGCTCCTGGCATGGCAGGTATCCCTTCACGGCCATCAACTCCAGGTAAGCCCTGGAGGAAGAAATAGCATTGTATTTCACACAGTGGCATCACATAAGTCACACCTGTTTCACAACTTTTGCCGGTCTTGTAAGGAAACTTAAACATGTTGGAAACATAAATGATAAATGCCACTATACATAGGAATCATGGTATACATACAGTTTCTCCTTTTGGCCCAGGAAGACCAGTAATTCCTCTAATGCCTTGTGGACCCTAAAAATAAGAGAGAATTAAAAAAAAAAAAAAGTATGTCAGAAGTGTGACAGGCATATCAGTCGATATGAATAACGCAAGGCAAATGACTCATCTCTGGGTGGGCTGGGGATCAGCATGACCTTCCATCATTTATTTTTGCTTTCCAAGTTATTTTTTCCTGCAGTTTTCAGTATGTAGTGGCCTAATTTCATCAGAGAGTAAGTTATGTTCAAAAGCAATAGACTTACTTACACTTAGTTACATGGAATTTAGGCCATTATATGAAGTAAACTCTGCACCACTGCTTAGGTGTAAACCCCATGGGACATATTTGGACTTGCATTCCAATAAACATGCCTGGTCTTAGCTGGCAATCTGGATATATTCCTACTTTTATCAATTATTATAATGCTATAAAAACTCACCCTCTCTCCTTCCGGGCCTGTTTCTCCTAGTGAACCTCTTTGTCCCTGATCACCCTAGAGAGGAATGTAGATATTGATTAGCAATCTCTGAGAAATTCCTTGTAATAAGTACACCAAGTCACAGGAGTGATTGCTAGCTACAGGCAATGCACATTTACTCCAATTGTAGCTTCCCACATTAGGAATCTCCCACATGTCTTGCTCGCCCTGGAGCAAATACGTCCCACTAATTATTTTTCTAGATTATGGACACACAACACCATGGTCACCTTGCCCACAAAGACAAATATTATCCATCTTTCCTTGTTCTGCTCCAAAAGTGATATTTTTCCACTCCTGTCAGCCTGCTTTAAATTGTTCTGAGGCCAAAAAGCCACCTTTTCCCACTTCTTTTGCCAACCCAGGAGGGAGAAGAGAAGGGAAAACAGATCTTTGGTGTGCCAGTTCTGTGGCCCCAAAGGGACCCATGTCCCCCAACAGAAGAGTTGTTTTCCCTGATTGCTTGCAGAACCCAGAAAGTACAGCCGCCCCTCCCCAGCTTACATGCTGCAGCACTGAAGTGTTAGGGCACTTGCTGTAGTGTATGGAAAATTAGTGGATAAGGTGCTTGTTTGTTTGTTTTCAGTGAAAATTGATATAAAGGTGGTTTGGTTTTTTTTAATGTGAGGGTGAAGGCAATCAGTTTAATTCTATCCTGAGGTTATCAGCAGTCTAAAAGTCTTTGGGATTAGACAGATTAACTCACAGCTGCCCCTGGAAGACCTTGAGGACCAGGCTCTCCATCAAAACCACGAGCACCCTATATTGTGAAGACCGAGAGAGAGAAATATGATACAGGATTATTACAATACAAAGATCTCCAAATATTCTGCTTACTTAGCAATTTCAGTAAGGACAAACCCAGCTTTGTATTTGTCAAGACTTGGTTCCTATACCCCATTCCATTCCCTTTGAAGAGTAGAACACGGATTATGTGTAGTTGAAGTGGGTGTATCGTTTTACACAGGTTCTCCCTCTTCTTGAAGTGGCACTTCCAATCGATAGTGGTGAGAGAGGATAGATCTGTCCAGAAACCTCTACATTGTGATATGTTCAGGGATCCCTCCTTTCCATACTTCTTTTCAACAACTACATGAAACTTCTTGGAGAAGTCATTCATCAGCATGGAGTTTGGTATCTTCAATATGCTGATGATACCCAGCTATATTGCAATGGAAGTGTTGCAATGGAAATACTGACCCCATGCTTGAAGGCTGTCAGGGTCTGGGTGGGGAGGAACAAACTCAGACTGAATCTCTCTAAGATGGAGTAGCTCTAGGTTTATGGTCTAAGAATTTCAGGGAAATACTACCTTTGTGAAAGGTCGGGGTTGAACCCCCATACTTAGAAATGATCTGCAATTTGGACATACAAATTAATAAAAATTTATCTATCATCTATCTATCTATCATCTATCTATCTATCATCTATCTCAGACATAGAGCTCTTGTTTGAAGAGCAGGTGGCACCTGTGGCTAGGAGGGCTTTTGCAAAGTTACTTCTGTATACCAGTTGTGACCATTTTTGGATTGGGATGCCCTGATCATGGTCACTGATGCTCTAAGCACCTCCCAGTTGGATTTCTGTAATGTGTTCTACAAGAGGATGCCCTTGAAGAAAATCTAGAAGCCCAAGCAGTGATGTGTGTTCCCCAATATAATTGGGTGACCCCTCTGCCTTGGGTGCGCCACTGGTTGCCACTAAGCTTCTGGCTATGATTCAAAGTGCAGGCTGTCATCTTTAAGGCTTTACATGGTTCAAGCCCTGGATATCCAAGAAACTGCCTCTTCTGGCATTCATATACACCTCCAACCAGATCTCATATGGTCAACTATTCCAGGCCCTATCCCTTCAAGACAGTCATCTCACAGGGCCTTGAAAGTTGCCTTTTTTCATCACCCCCATTCTTTGGAACTCCCAAAGGAGCTTCAGTCCTCTACCAGAGGCCTGGGAGTTTGAGGGTTCTGTGGAGTACCTTAGCTGTTCCTAGCACTACACTCTCGTGGACAGAGAGGTCTGATGTTGTCCTCGGGATATATTGGAGCTACTCTCCCAGCTTAGGAGTCACAGTCCCGAGTGCTCCTACCACCACTGGGACCACTTTGGTCTTTACTTTCCACATCCTCTCTTGTTCTTCTTTCAGGCCCTGGTACTTCTCCAGCTTCTCATACTCTTTCTTCCTGATGCTGCTGTCACTGGGCACTGCTACATGCAACCACCGCTGTCTTCTGGTCCATGTCTACTACCATGATGTCTGGTTGATTGGCCAGCACCCACTTGTCCATCTGGATCTGGAAGTCCCACAGGATCTTAGCCCTGTTATTCTTCATGACCTTCTGTGGAATCTCCCATCTGGACTTGGGAGGGTCTAGCCCATACACTGTGCAGATGTTCCTGTACACAATGCCAGTTACTTGGTTGTGCCGTTCAGTGTGTGCTGTTCCTACCTGCATCTTACACCCTGCCACTATGTGTCGGATTGTCTCTGAGGCCTCTCTGCCCAGTCTGACCCTTGGGTCCTGTCTAGTGTGGTACACCCCTGCTTCTGTTGCTTAGTGCCTGTTCTTGTGCTGCTATGATCAGTGCCTCAGTGTTGTCTTTTAGTCCAGCCATTTCCAGCCACTGGTAGGATTTCCCAATATCAGCCACCTCAGCTATCTGTCGAAAGAATTTTCACCATGTTCATATGAAAGAATGTTCCCACATAGCAATTCTTCTATAAATCAAGGCACCTCTTAGTCAATCAATATTACCAAACAATTTGAAATCACAAAGGTATCATTGCTGTTACTTACTTTATCACCTTTGGGGCCCATTATGCCAATGAATCCTCTTAACCCTTGAGGTCCCTGAAATGCAAAAGGTTTTGCAAACGTGAATGTCATGTACCTGACTGATCACATACATGCTTACTTTCCTTGGATAAACAAAAGGATTAAAGCCTTTTCTTCTCTTTCCGTCCTTATGAGAAAAACTGTTTCTACTTTAAAGATTTTCTTCTTATTAATTTTTTTAAAAATCCCAAAGTCCTAAGTATTGTACTTTTTTCTGTCTCCAGCTGTATGAAATCAGAACATCCAAAATAATGAACTGTGACTCCTCTTCTGTGAAATCAGCTCCCCCCCAAAATAAAATCACCTTCCTTTTTGCAACTATTCAGAAGATTGTGAAAAGTTGGTTATACCTAGAATGTATGGAGATGCAGCTAATGACATGTTGTTACTTTAATTTTATGTCATGTATTAATATTAGATGCACTGTATAATTTATTGTCTATCATTTGTGCAATCTGCTTAGATTTGCTTTTGACTGATGTGGTGTGAAAGTGCTTGCACTTAAGAAAAAGTATAAAGAAACACACATCAAGCCATACTTCGGTACTATGGGAAGAAGACTGGGGCTCAGGCAGTCCTGCCTCTCACATCATCCAGACTTCAGATTCCTTATTTCTCTTGTGAATGACATTCCCATTTATTGTCCTTTCTGTCTGGTTGAAGACAGGCAACAAATTAAGCAACTGGTTTCAATCCACTTACTGGGCTCAGTAAAAAGATAGTCTTCCTTGAGTCAATGTGGACATGTGGACACAGCCATATTGTTTTCTTGGCCACAATTACTAAGTAGGTTGCTCCTGTCTTCTTCTAAAGTGTTAGGATATTTCTGACTTCTACAGCCATGGGATTTCCTTTTGGTCTCCTATCCACATACTATGCAGACCTACTGTAAATCTTACCCTTAAATCCCTGATTCTCCTACAGTCCTATCTTTGAAAGGGCTTTTCAGTGAAAAGTGTCAATATTTCAATGTGCAGAAGAAAAATACAGTTAAATTCTAGTTTCAATTAGCTCAGTGGGGGAAAAAATGACTCACATTAGTTTCATCGTGATAAACAGTCATGACAACTTAGTTAGATCAGGAACTTATAATGATGAACAGATGGATGGATATTGGTTTCACTTACTTTCTTACATTTCACCATATTTACTCATTGATGAAAAGCAACTAAAAAGTTAATTAAAAAGGAAATACTTTACCGGAGGGCCCTGATCTCCGATGTCACCTATTCGTCCTTCTTCGCCTTCTTCTCCCTAAAAAATATAGAAAGCACAACAAGTTAGTTAATAATACATTCTAAAAATTAGCATACATAATTTATTCTGTTTCCCTCAATATTATGTATTGTGTTATTTATGTATTTCCCACATCCTTAAGTCTGGAGGCAGCATACATTAAGTAGGGCTGTCTTATTTGGGAAAGACTTTAGCAAAGAGATTGAAAGCTGATAGTATACAATATCACACTAAATCATTATTTGTTTCAGCCATGGTTTATTGAACAAACCATATGCTAAACCATAAACTACAGTTTACAAATCACAAAATTTGTTCACATGTCATAGAAAGCCAAAACAAAACAAAGCACATTATTTTTAGTGTTTATGTGTCACAGACCTATGATACAGAGAACCATCAATAGTTGTTTTAACTAAGTCCTTTGAAAACAGTGGAGAAATCATTCTAAGAAGACCATTACTAATCCTTTCTTAAATACACACCGAAGTTAAACATTCTTCCCCCATCAACCATCACTATTCCAGTTTATCTGCGTGCATTGACATTCTACTTCCTCTTACCTTATAGCCTTGCTTTCCTGGTTCACCACCCTCACCTTTTGCTCCTTTGTGGCCCTAAAATATAAGCCAAAGATATTTTCACTGATGCTAAATATGTCACCTGAAACATTGCCTATAAAAAAATTGGCTTGGGTGTCTCAGCTATGTGAAACCAGAGTTGTTTTCCCAGTCTGATGTCCTGCAGATGTTATGGACCTCAACACTGAGAATGCCTTAACCCGGGATCATATCAGCTGGGAATGATGTGTGGTATAACTTAATGTATCTGGAGGATATGAGGTGGAGACGTTGGAATTAGAACATTTAAACCAGGGTTCTCCAAAGTGGTCAATATCAACCCCCAGGAGTCGATGGGATTATCCATTGTTGTTGTTGTTGTTGCTGTTATTCATAGTACTATTAGCTAAAGTAGTATTTATTAAACTATTTTCATATAATAAATGTTTGGGGGTTGATGTACAATCTGAAACTTCATGAAGGGATCAATGAGCTGAAGAGTTTGGGGACCTCTGGTTTAAACAATCACTGTGTCCTTTGTTGTAATTTTGAGGATAGTGTAAGAAACATATTTTTACAATTTTGAATGAAAATCTCCCTTACGGTTTTTTTTTTCTTTTTCAAATGAGCTAGGAATTTATACTGTTTTTGTTTACTCGTGTGTTTACATAACACCATGTGCTTCCATACAGTTGCATAGCAAACATACACTCAAGAGGTCAGGTATCGTGCCCTAAAGGACTTACAGGCTAAAGTTCACAACGGAAGAAGCAAAGAGGGAAGGGACTGAATTCACTATTTTGGCTTCTTAGAAATGGATTTCATTTCCATGCCGTTCCTATATGCAAGGGCTTATTTTGATGGCTGGTATTCCAACGTGTAGGTTACAAAGGACATAGTACTCTAACCCTAATTCCACATTGTTATGCTCCTGCTGTAACAGCTCTTGCGACTTATCAAAATCCAGTCAATATCCAGTCTTATTTAGAACATATTACTCCCACCCCTTCTCTTACCTTCATGCCCATCATGCCAGCAGGTCCTGGATGGCCAGGTGTGCAAGCATTTGGACACTGAAAAAAGAAGCAATGAGTTAAGTTAATAAGGAGGAATTTTGCTTAGGGAAAAGCTGTTTATTAATTTAATTTGATTTGATTTGCTATGGCTGCCCACTCTAAAAGATTCTGGGCAGTTTACAAAATCCACATACACATACAATCCCCACCTCCTACCCAAGTAAAACAGTTAAAACAGTTAAAACCCACATAAACAGGCAGCCTGCACTAAAAGAACTAAATGGCCAATGGTACAAACAGTACAAAAATATGACATCCCCCACCCCCAATAAAATACAACCACATTAACCCCAGCCCTGGGAACAGATCCAGGTCTTAAGGGCTTTCCAGAACCCTAGGAGAGTGGGTATCATCCATATCTCTTATCTTCAAAAAGGAAGATAAATATCTTACCAGTGGATCTCCACCATGAAGGCCAATTGTTCCCTGAAGTAGATTAGCAAGAAGTTTAAAATGGAGATAGCCATGAATATTGTCAAATATTGAGTTGAACTTGCATTAATAAGGCTGATGCGACAAACAGATCTATAAATGCAGTAAAGGAGCCTTTTGTGAGGGCAAAGTATGCCTTCTACCACCAGCAGAGGACAGATC